TATTAGTATGCCGAAAAATATATAAAGCATAACGTTTCTATCATTTATTTGTACTTGTTAAGAATGAGATATTCTAGAAACCTAGAGCATCAAGTCATCAAATTAAATGTCATTGAAGGAATAATTAAGGACAACGTATTTATGCATGACGCATGTTTCTATTTATCAATCAATAAATACTAGCTAGGGTTAGGTTGCCCATTCAGAATTATTATTCCTTTAGATAACAACTAGAGAATCATATTTATATGGAGTAATTCATAAAAGGGTATATATGTTATTTTTCAGGTGGTGCATGTGGCCACTTCTATAGGCTTAAGGATACTTATAGACTAGTAAATAGTGGGCATGCTTTGCTTTATACTCTTTCTTCTCCCCTCCCCCAATGGTTGATAAAAAAAAACAAAACATGGACAGTCCCCTTAATTTGTCCTCAAATCTTAGCACTCTTAGCTCAATTTTGTTTTATTTTAATCCTTCGATTCCAATTTAATATATCATTTGAATATAAAATTATTTTTATGACTTTTTAAATTTTTATTTATGTTTCTCTATATTATTGTGGTTATTATCGATATTCTTTCTTAAGAAATTGAAGATGATGATAATTGATAATAATGATTTTGGATAGGATAAGATAGATATTCCATGTCCTACCCCTATATACTGATTACCGATTAGTCACACATCACTCTTTTTTTTTTTTTTGTGATTCTCTTTGTAAATATAAGATAGATGTTCTCTTTGTCTTCAACCGTACGTTCGTTGTGGATTGTAAGGTGCAGGCACCAGCTAGCTTATGAATATTAAAGTCCCTTTTTCTATTTTGTTTGCAAGCAGCAAGTGGCAAAGCCTATTCAACTTATTTTGCTAAATGCTAGTTGTATAGTACTACCACATTCTTTTCTTTATTTTTGCTTCAACAATTTCCTCATATCATGTAATCTCTCACACATTATTAAACTTTTCCAAAATCGGAACTCCGATCCACACGAGTTTTTTTGGGTGGTCTAAAATTAATTTGTACGACTATATATAAATCATTTATTATAATAAGTAGCTAATTAAAGTTAAATTATTTTTAAATATACAAATGTAATTTTATATTTGAGATACAATACAAAAAAAAGTGTGTTACATAAATTAGTATATACTGAAAATAGCTAAATTTGTAGCTTAAAAAAACAGTAAAATCATCAATCCCGCTGGATATTATATATATATATATATATCAGAGGATAAGATAATTAAAATTAGTATATACTGAAAATAGCTAAATTTGTAGCTTAAAAAAATAGTAAAATCATCAATCCCGCTGGATATTATATATATATCAGAGGATAAGATAATTATTACGGATTGTTGTCCCTTGCACAACCTAACAGGAATACCTCTAGACTTTCTATCAAAAAGGAGATGCACGTGCTAACCCAGTCTAATATAATAGGAGTAATTAAAACTGAACCCTTCCCATCAAGAAGATGAAGGTATATATATATCTTCTCTGGTATATATATAAAGAATTTTCGCACCTACGATAGCTGGTCAATTTCTATTTTATCAAATTATCAATTTATGTTAATTAAAAGATTTACTTGTGATCAGGGGCGGAGCCAGCATGGTTAAAATTATTTTTTAGATATATATAATAGATGTCGAACCCTTTAGACTAGTTCGTCAGTATTTCCCATAGCAATTATATTCATGTACACTGTACACATAAAGTTAACGAATAGGAGGAGAATTCTCTTATAAGCCATTTACAAATCACATACACTGCATGCATTGGAAAAAATCCCGATTTAAAATGTGGTCGAATTAGGAGTTGACATGTGGTAGAAGTGACAGGTCAGGCATAATTTTTTTTAAGGGTAGTCGACGAAGAACAGGTTTGGTTTGAAGAGTTGAGTACTCGAGGTCATCTAGATTATGTAGTGATGCAACGATGAGAGCCTGTCTAGCACGCTTCGGAGGTGTGGTGCCAGACGCAAGGACAAACTGGATTCATATAATGAAGTAAAATGAACTATAAATTTATTTTTTATAGCTTCGGAGGTTGGTGGAAGGTGTGTGTGGGTGAGGGGGGAATTTTTTTGTTTTTGAAAAAACAATTTTTTTTTTTGTTTTTGAAAAATAAAAAAATTTAGGGTCGGTTGGTGGAAGTTGGGGGGGTGGGGGGTAATTTTTTATTTTTTTTTGAAAAAACAGATTTTATTTTATTTTGTTTTTGGAAAACAAAAAAAAATTAGGGGTAGGTTGGTGGAAGATGGGGGGGCACCCCAAGGAGGGGGTAATTTTTTTTTTTTGAAAAACAGATTTTTTAAAATGGGTTAGAACCATTTTATCCAAACTATATTTGTCCAAATCCATATTTACCCATATTCTATTTGGGTGGATTGTAATCCAAATCATTTTTGCTCAATCCATCCAAACCCGATCCAATTCAACCATTTGTCACCCCTACCTATAATATTAGAAAAAAATCTCTAAGCTTTCAAGTTCTTGCAATTCTTAACATTCAACAAGAATAACATCTTCCGTAGACTGCATGTTTTACTGTTTACATTTTACAAGCTAATTCATTATAATATCATTATTGATCAATTCAACTCGCGTATATATTCTTAAATTACGTGTAAAAATCCAATTTTTCTCTTCTAAGGACGAACAAATCCCTATTATGATCGACTTCAATGAATTACATATTCTTCTTCAACTTCAGCAAGGTACCATGAACACTTGCTTGTGGCTCTACTATACATGAAAGTAATTCTGGGTGTTTGAATAACTCTCGACTATTATTTGTTATTCTTTATAGAAAACAGGGTTTGATATACTCATCAACTTTGTCATTTAAAGCTGACATAGTCTATCGTTACATAAATAACTCACATATATCCCTATTGTTACAAAAATGACTTACATATACCTTTTTATCTAACGAAAGTGAATTTTTTATTTTTTAAAAAATAATTATATAGGGTATATATGATCTTTTCCACACATGTTTTTTATAGTGTGAATGAAAAAAGAGCAAAAAGTAAAGAAAAAAATTAAAACTAATTATTTCCCAGATATATTGTAATTTAATTTTTGTATGTAAAAATATTGGGACATATATAATAAATTTTACAAGAAAGTTAGTAAAAAAATAAATTTGACCATTAAAATAATGAATTCAAATTAACTGTTGAACTAAAAAAGGCGGAAAAAAAATACATATGAAAAGTATCAAATATACCCTTACATGAATGTTTTTCTCAAAAATAAAACAATTCAAAAAATATTTTTTAAATTAATTTTTTTATTTCGTTAGAGGAAAAAGGTATATATGAGTCATTTTAACTCATAACAAAATTGGAAGGTATATCAAATCATTTTCTCTATATTCTATCCAAAAGCAAATGTTGTTTACGAAAGTCGATATATATCATTTTTAGCGTGAATTTAAATATTTTGTTAAGTGATATCTTAATAATTAATTTTTGGTGAGAATAACATAAGATTATTGCAAATAGTACGTTAGGAAATACTTAGCAATTGAATGCAAAATGTGTGTTTTGCATATAAATTCTTATCAGCTAATCACGATTAAGTAATATTTACTTTAACTTTGATGTATTTTTATTTAATTTGTGAAACTTATGATGGAACTATTTATTTTTGATGAAAATATTCGGTGCAAATAAGTATTTTTATTATATATAACTAAGGTAATTCATTAGCATTTTCCTCAAAATTGTAGGTATGTAATCGTATTGTAACCATTTGAAAATAAGAGTAAACTACATAAATTCCACTACTTTAGATCCTAATTATTAGGATTCCCGATAATTTTTATATTACTTCCTATATCATTTTCTGTGGTGAGATACACGTATCTTGATCCGTCAGATACGTGTATTCATAGGGTTTAAAATGCCGAGATACACGATTTAAGACTTTTGAATTAGATGTTGTAACTTATTGCCTTAATTAAAGGAGTAAATTAGGGGAAATTAGCAAACTAAACATGTATATATGGGTTTCGTTGTGTATTGCTAAGCATGTATATGAACATTTTAATAATTTAATGTTCATTTTATATCATGTATATTTTGTTAAGAATGTATCTTCGACAATAATGTGGTACTGATACATGAAAAAATGTGTAATATTTTTATATTGTGTATCTCGAACAAATAATGTGCATCTCAGACAAATAATGTATACGTCATTGATAAAGATAACGATCTTATATCTAAAAGTAATGATTTGGGTAGCATATATGATTCGTTATGCATGTGTTTCAGATATTAATATGAGATTTGTATCTAGTAAAGTAAGATAAATTTAGATACATTATGACCAGTGTAACGATATACATCAAAGATGTATCTTAAAAATGTTTTACTTGCAATATTATGAAATTTATGTATATAATGTTTGTATTGTTACCTTTAAGGTGATACCTTCTTTTGAATCATTGTACGAAGTTAATGATAGTGTAAATTTTCATCCATTAAAAAATATGGAGAACTAATAGATTCAAACAATGTAAAAACCCTAAAATCAAACTTTAAAAGAATTAGAGCTCTGAATCAGAATTTGTATAATTTGGAGGAGTGGGCTGATGGTGTGAAGAGAGAGGAAGTAATATGAATTGTTAAAGTCCCATTAATTAAGGAGATACAATTTTAAGATAATTATTAAATATTATATTTAAGGGGATTGTGTATCTAATTTAACTTTTTAAAATGTATGGTATAATTATTAAAAGGTGATATTATATGCGATATTTTTAAATTAGAGGTAATATATGTATATATGATAGTGAAGTACGTCTATATATGTAGTTTTTCGTGAAAATAATTCTTAGCCCAAAAGCTAGTTCTAGTTTGCCCAACTCATGAGGTCGACTACATCAGAATTGTTAGCCCAAAATCTACCGGCACACAGTGACATCTTCTGGCCCAAAAGAGTTACTTATCTTAATAAGCCCAATTTTTAATTTTGCTTCACGTTCTGCAGATTTGGGGAAATTTTCTTGCGATGCAAGAATCCTGCTTTAGTACTAAAACCCTTACATACAAATCGGATCACCATCGTAATCATCTCTTCATATCCACTTGATTCATGCAATTTTAGAGCTTTTGAGATTGGAATACCAATCAGAGAAACGGAATTCATCTTTAAATGGCTTTAACCAACTTTATATTGACGGTGGTCGGAGTAAGCGCCGTGTTTTTACTGATGAGGAGCGATGTCAAACAGTCTGCCTCAATCTTCAAGCGTAACGTTCGTCAAATTCGCCATTGGCTCGAGGAAGAGTCAGCTTCTGCCGCTAAGTATGTCTTCAATCAAGTATTTGGTCTGTTCATTTTGTTATCTAGTTGAGGTTACTATTTTTCTGCATTCTGCTTCAAGTTTGAACTTCTTCATCGCTTTCTGGATTAAAAATTAGCGGTTGGTGAATCATGAATGGATAGTGATAAACAAAATTAGTGCTCTACCGTGTAGTAATATTGTACGAGGGTTGTATTTGACTGGCTTAACACTATGCACTTTTAGTTATGTCTACTTCTAAGCTTTGGTCTTCCTGCTAATATCCTACATAACTCAAAATTGCCACATCTGTGATGTGTCTTTCATGTTATAGTCTGTTGGAAGACATAAAGCTGCCCTGGATTTGTTGTTATTATATGCTTATGTCTTGGTGGTCATGTAGAATGTCCACCAAAGATATGTTCCCTTATTGATATCATGTTCTGTTTTAGCCGTAACTTGTATGCCACCACTTGGACATGAATTTTTTGCCTTCAAATTAGTCACCCAAATATTATGTCCTTCAAATTAAAACATTATACGTACTTCCTTTTGCGTGCAAAATTTGTATCTTTTAACAAAACTTATAAGTCTTAATAAGTTGAATTGGTAAAGTCATCTTATCTTATGATATGACTCTTAATAAGAAAATTAATCTGTATTCACTATGGTAACTAAAGCTTATTCAACCAACTTTGGAAAGCCAAAAAAAGAACAGGATTGCCCCCTTCCCTAGGAAAGAATAGTGCGACTCTTCAACGTGGTGTCAGGTTTAGACCTTTATGGTATAGATGGAGACTTCTTTATGGTATGCGTCCTTGATACCTTGAGTTATTTGGTTCATTTTGCATTAGTTATGTATGCTGTGAAGTCTGGAAAAAAAATGTATGCTATTTATAAAGAAAAAAATATGTTCTGTCAATTTCCCTAAAAAGGTTTCTTATTAATCCTTTCTTGACAAGGCAGCGAGCTGAAATTTTTAAAAGATCGATCATCTGACCATAAGCTACTCAAGGTGTTATGACTCACATTGACTAGCTGTCTGGAATCACAGCAGTCTTAATCATTTCATGTGGTAGGTCAAATGCCAAAACTTGGTTGCATTTATTAGGGTTAGGGTTAAGTATGAGAGGTTTAAATGCCTAGGCAATTTTAGGGTCGTTTGGCTGAGATTTGTCTTGGTGTATGCATCCCCACTATGTTGATTGATACATCCCCGAGGCCATTTCTGGGGTTTATGCCTCTGATCAATGCCTTTATGGGTGCATCCCCGTTTTCATGGTTGTTGCATTCTCCATACATTTCAGCTGGCTTAGTTATTATTAGCCTTTGACTAATGAAATTGATCAAATGGTATTGGTAGTTCTAAATTATGTTTTGATAGCTTGTTCTAGGTTATATACACATCTTATGTAAGTACACCCATCCTTATTGGTATTCTTCGGCCTTAATTGTAGAAAATTTTTGCTAACTTTGTTGTCTGATTCTGTATCATATAGCAACCTAGGTTGGTAGTTTATGCATGTCTGGCTAAAACATTCCGGACAGAATGAGCAAAAGAACATCCTTTGAAGTCTTGTCTGGCTTTATTCCAGAGAAAGATGGTATGTCAATCTTCTTCTGCAAACTACAAAGTACTGCAAGTTCTACTGTACAAATTTTCAATGCATAATAGGTGTAACATGAAAAGCAATATGTTCTTTATTCTATACTTAGAATCCTAGGTACCCTAGAGAACTTATTTTAGAATTTTATTCTTGACTTGTAGGTTTCAGTTTGATCTCCTCCTTTTACTTCTCATCTTTTTAATCCTTTCATGTCATGTCTCATCTCCTTCTATTGTTATCTTTATCTTCATCTTCGCACATCTTCTCTTTTGCTGTATAGGAGTAACTTGTTGTATTAACTTGTTTCTCTTGGGAAATTGAATCCTTCATTTTGCTTGTTTGGCAATCGGTTGCAGTCGTTCTGTTTATGTGTATCAGATGAACATGACATGCCATTGATGTTTCTGCAGGGAAATAGAAAAGGCAAAGCCAAAGGAGATACCGAAGAAGGACATCCCCAAGGAGGACAAACAGTAGATGTGACTCGTGCTGAAATTCTTATCAGAAGCTGTGCAATTTCCCACCTAGTGTTTGGCATTTTGGTCCGTAAAATATTTGACACCGACTATCGTTTTGTAGCCCCTCATGTAGTTGCCACTTTATGGTTGCCAAGGTTATGACATTATAATATACTTTCATTCTTCTAGTATTTATTAAGATGTACATCAATTATGCAGTAACATAAAAGATACTTGAAGAGATCTGCAAGATATTGTGACACTTGTTATGGAATTATTGGATTTAATGCAAAAACCGGTTTAATTGAAAAATCATTATTGGGTTAAACGCTTTTAAATGGATTCGTGATTTTAATTATTTGTTAGTATTAGTTTGGTTTCCGTAAAGGTTAAATTGATAATTCAAAAAATATTATATGAAAATTATTATTTTACTCTGAATTATATAACAATGACTTTAATGTTATCTACCCTATTTCATAAATTCTAGTATTACTTTTGGTTGTTGGCAACACAGACTAGCCTTTCTGCCTCTCTGTGACACCTTCTCTCTTTTCGGGGCACAAATAAGGTTATGATTATGTGAGGATTTTCTCACTGATTAAAGTGAAATCTATTAACAAATTCTTAAGTGATTTGGTTATTGATTTAGCGTATTCACAAACCAACCACTGAATAAATCTAATTGATAATACATGAAACCTAGTGCAAATAAGTATGTACTCATAGCAGTTTTAATTATTTTTTTTGTTTGTAAGAAATCGTAATTTAAAAGTTTTAGCCCAAAAAGGTAGTACTAGTTAGACCAACTCTAGAGTAGCCCAATATCTACCGGATCTCAGGATGATATTTTCGCGGCCCAAAAAGAAGTTACCAACTTAAAAAAGCCCAGCATTTAAGATTCTGTCGGATTTGGGAAATTTTGTTGCTTCTGTGCAAATCGGAATCATATATAGGAGCTCTTGAGATTGGAATACCAATCAGAGAAACTGAATTCATCTCGTCTATCTTCAAGCGTAACGTTCCTCAAATTTTTCAGTGGCGCCGCCGCTAACTGTATGTCTTCCCGCTTACACCTTTCACTTTCCTGTTTCTATTTGGTCTCTTCATTTTTATTTTTCTGCATTCTGCTTCAAGTTTGAATTTCTTCATGCTTTTTGGACAAAAAGTTTGCCTAGCCGCTTGTGAATGGATAGCTGAGGGCTGCAGTGTGAAAAGTAATTGACTGGCTTAACAGTTAACACTAAGCAGTTTTAGTTATATATGACTACTTTTGAGAATGTTCTTGCTTCTTTTCTCTTCCTGCTAATGTCCTACATACATCTCGAAATTCCCACATGTTCTCAAACTTTTGTTCTTCTTTTGATAATTATACCTTCCAAAATAGCCTTGATAAAGTTCTCCAACTTATGCTTTACTTTTGGTCTGCAAAATCTGCTCACGGTTTTTTTTGGATTTTTGGGATGAAATTTCAAGTTGACCTTTTTTTTAACAAAGGTACAGGGACATATTAGTATGAAGGGATCACTTCAAGCGATTTGAGTTGGCTCTTTGAGGTTTAAAGTTTATCAATATTAATGAGCATGCTCACATCTATAAGTTGATTTTCTCCTACTTCGAAGGAGGGGGGAATTTGTTAATTTCCATTTATTCTCATAGAGGGATGTATATATCATGTGTTTTTCTTTTCAGGCCATTTTTTTGGGTTAGTTTCGTAGGTTTTTTGGATACCAAAGCTAAATTAGTGTTTCATGCTTTCTGAAGCAGCAATTGATGTCCCTATGATTAATTTTATTTTTAGCATTGTTCAAGTTTGCAATTGTATCACATATATGATTACCTTTTGACGCTCATGTAAAATGGCCACCAAACACATGTTCCCTTATTGATATCATGTTCTGTTTTAGCCAAAACTTTTATGCCACCAGTTGGACATGGATCTTTTGCCTCCAAGGCACCCAATTTCTTACAAATTCTTACTTTTTTTGTTATTTTCAAATATTATGTCTTTCAAATTGAACATTGTACTTCTATTTTGAGTGCAAAATTTGTATCTTTTGACATAATTTAAAAGTCTTTATAAGTTGAATAGGTAAAATCATCTTAACTTATGATATGTCTGTTAATAAGAAAATTAATCCATATTCACTATGGGAACTAAGAGTCTTAAGACATACCAACTTCTGAAATAAAAAGAAAGAACAGGATTTCCCCCTGTTTAGGCAAGACTGTTGTGATTCTTCAACGTGGTGTCATGTTTAAACTCCTAGCAAAAGTGTTCTCAATACATTGAGTGATCTGGTTCATATTACTGTAGTTATGTATGCAATGATTCATGAAAAAAATGTATGCTAGTTATACAATAAGTGTATTCTGCCAATTTCCGTTAAAAGGCTTCTTAATCCTTTCTTGACAAAGTGGCAAGCTGAAGTTTTTTAATTTGGATAGCAAGCTAAGAGTGTTCATCCTGATTTGTAGAAGAGAGCTATATGCTTATTAATCGGCATAAACACCATTGCTCTAGGTCTTATCGGAGCTCAGAGCCTACAGTTTAAAGGTTGATCCTCTGAGCATAAGGCCATAAGCTACTCAAGCTGCAAGGAGGACAAGCAGTAGTCTGACTCATTTTGAAAGTGTTATCAGAAGCTGTGGTCACTTCAACCTCTGTGAGTGTGAGCCAAATTGGAGAATAGGCTAGAAAAGGGAACTGATGACAGGCAGTGGTGGAAATCTTAGTTCCAATCAGTCATCTGTGTCTCATCAAGCTCCCAAAATCCTATTAGCCAAACCTGGACTTGTCTCCGCCGGTAAGTTCAACCGTGGTGGACCTGACGATGATTCTGCAGCTCACCGTCCACGTCTTCCCTCCGTTGGATCTCTTAATCTTCTCTCTGACACCTGGGATTTCCTCACGGATCGTTTTCTCCCGTTTCTAACGGATAATACGGACTTTACAGTAGTGGGTGTGATTGGTCCTCCAGGGGTTGGGAAGTCGACGATAATGAACGAAATTTATGGTTTTGATGCTAGTTTGCCTGGAACTCTTCCTCCGTTTGCCATAGAAACAGAAGAAACAAGGGCTATGGCGAAACATTGTACGGTTGGCATTGAACCACGGGTTTCATCTGAACGGATTATACTGCTTGATACACAGCCTGTTTTTAGCCCCTCGGTTTTGGCTGAAATGATTAGACCAGATGGCTCATCCACCATACCCATAATAAGCGGTGAATCTTTATCGGCTGAGCTAGCTCATGAACTATTGAGCATCCAGCTTGGTGTTCTTCTGGCATCCATTTGTCACATTATATTGGTGGTATCAGATGGAGTCCATGATGCTAGCATGTGGCAACTCATGTCAACAGTTGATTTGCTAAAGCATGGGATACCTGATCCATCATCTTTAACCCTTTCTCATCCTCAAAGCTCTGAGAAAGAAAACAGGGACAGAATTCTAGATAGTGGAGGAGAGTACATGGCTGATCCAGTTTTTGTGCATACAAAGCTATGCACTGAAGATCTAGCACCATGTAATCTTGTTCAACTGAAGAAGGCACTAACACAATTCTTTTGCTCGCCATCCTTTGTGAGATCAGAAAACCACAACACTGCTAAAGAGAGTCAAGTTTCTGCTGTTTCTTCCAACGTTCAAAGTGCTGGTCGAGAATCTGAATTTTTAAAATTATTTCTAATTCCATCTAGAAATAAGGATGATTCCTTGAAGCCTCAGTATGAAAGCCACATTTCAGCATTATGGAATTTGCGGGATCAGGTTTTGTCAAAGAGAGGTCCGTCTTTCTCAAGGACTGTGTCTGAGCGTGATTGGGTGAAAAATTCTGCCAAGATATGGGAAATTATTAGGAATTCTTCCATTATTGTGGACTATTGCAGAACTCTTCAAAGTTCAGGCATGTTTAGGAGGTAATAATAGCTTTAAATTTTTCTCTGTTTGTTTATCTAGGGTGTTGAACAACAAAGTCCTAAATTATGAAAGACTTTCTGGAGTCTTTTCGCATACTCTATTACAAGTCCCACAGAGACTTAAAATTTAAAAAATATCAGACGCTGTGCAATATCCCACCTAATGTTTTAGATTTTGATCCGTATTCTACATGCTGACTAATTTAGGCTCCCAAAATACTATATCGTTTCGTAGTTCCTCAACTTGTTGCCACTTTATGGTTCCCAAGTTTATGACATTATAAACATTGGTGTATGTATGTTGTTAAATACACTTCCATTCTTCTAGAATATACTAACATGTATCGATTATGCAATAACATAAAGATATGTGCAGGATATGATCATCTGATGCCATGCACAGCTGATTTCGGTACACAAAAATGAGATATTTCACGTTCTGTGTTTACTTTGTGGAAAGAATACAAGTTGTTGTGAGGTAAGGCAGATGCGAAAGAACTCTATTTTACAATTAGCATGTAAGGTCTCCTGACCCACGCACAACGGCTTAATTTCTTGTGTCATGCTTGGTTAATTAGTATGACGAAAGAGAAAATGATGTAGGAAAGCTCTGTTTTAGTCTTTTTGGTTAAAATTAGAATAGATTGGATTGAATCATTACTAGAGCAAAAAAATAATATCTCAAATGATCACTTATAAAGTCTCTCAACTTTGTTTTACTATCCAAAAGTGACTTAATTAAAATGGTAGTTTTCTTAGAAAGTCACTCAACATTGTTTTATAATCTAAAAATTAATATTTTACCTAAAAAGTCCCAACAAAGATTTATTATGGTAAATAGTTTTCTTAAATCACCTAGAAAGTCCCAACAAAGATTTACTTGGATCTGTTAGTAGATCAATGTTTGGACCTTGAAAACATTCGTTCTTATTCCTTTTTCTCATCTAAATTGGAAATATGACAATGCTCCAATGAAAAGGAGAAATTAAACGTAGTTGCTTTTCACTCTTTGAATTTTTCAGTTGGTGTTTTCAATTTTCATCTTTTCTTACAAAAATAAAATCTAATTTCTTAGTTTATCTTTACTTTACTCCAAGTATTTTTAAAAATAGAAAAATGCAATTATAACTGACGCATATATGTCATAATATTTAGAGCCTGTTTGACATTACTGCTAAAAATAACATATTTTGAGAAACCCTTTTTTAAAATGACTTTTCAAAAAAGTGCTTTTGAAAATAATAATAATTTGTGTTTGACTGATTCATTTGAATAGAGTTTTTCATAAACAAATTGCGTTTGTTTGAATTTTTTAAAAAAAAAAAGTGTTTTTGAGAGTCAAATAAAAAAAAGGACAACTATTAATGTATTTCTAATATTAAATTTATTTTATAGAGAAAAACTATTTTAAATATCTATTATATAAAAAAATTATTTTTATTAAATAAAAAATGTACATGTTTAAATTTTCAATCAATATTATAACTTTTTTGGGAGGCAGAAATCTTTAATTGTTCTTTTTTTTTCTTTTTTCTAATCTTGTAAAATATTATTGTTAACTTTTTTCTAATTTTGCAAAATAATGCGTAAAATAATATATAATAATAATAATAATAATAATATATAAACGTAAAATAAATTATAAAGTTTATTATATAAATATAAAAAAATCTTAAATAAAAGTCAACCAAACTTATGAAATATGCTAATTAATATATATATATATGCTCCCCAATGATAATCTGAGGCATCTGTTTGTAATACCAAATTATCATTTTCATTTGGTAATCTAAGCTTTGGTAACTTCGAACATTCCTTTTTTAATTCTTTTATACACTGAGTGTGTTCCAACAATTTCCTTTTTCTTTCTCGTCCTTCAATAATGTTCCAACAAGATGTTGATGTTTTTTGACTAGATGTTTTGTTTCTGCTTTTGCTTTTTAAAATAGCACAAATTTTTAGTTTCTTCCTAATAGCAGAAAAACTTTTTCTGCTTCCATTTAAAAATAATTTTACTGATCCGCTAAACACTAAATTTTTCAACAAAAATATTTTTTTCCCCCTCAAAATAAGTGTTTCTAGCGTCCAAACAACAATGTCAAACATACTCTTACGCAAAGTTAACGTGAACATTCACTAATGGCGAAGGTTAGAGACCACATATTGAAAATTTTTATAATTGAGGCTGAAACTACAACACAGCTTGAATTTAATCTCTGAAACTGTAGTTTACCCTTCAAAAGAAGGCCAACCTTTGTGACTTCGAAAGAAACAAATACTGTATATTATATGTAAAAGAAAGAAGAAGAAATTTTGAGAGTCCAAATTAAACATTTAGTGATGGTTACACCAATGCTGGATTATTTGGTGATGTTAATTAGGTAGCAGTTGTTTTAAAAGTGTAATGCTGAAGCAACAGAGCAGTAGCATTAATTAAAGGGTATGGGAATGGGAGGATTAGGCAAAATATGCATCTGATGAAGGATTTGTTCAAAATTATCATTGGGCTTGTCAATAGGATGAGTGTGCATTCCTTCATAAGTAGTCACTACAACTGTTTCATCTTTGGAAAGGCGCTGTACTTGCTTCTTCACATTGCATCCTTCATGAGTACATCTGTAGTAGCTTCTGCAGTACATGTTTCAATTAGTACTTATTATATATATCTGGGGAAACCATGCACTCATAATAACTACTACTAATATATTTAATCTATCATTTGCCGCCCAAGGATGTGCAGCCAACCACCCTTTAATTTGCCTAAGGTGCCTCCGCATATCATTTAATCTAGTTGATGCAAATTAGATTTAATTAATTTTGAGTGAGTATACAAGGTCATAATTGTTGTTCATCTTTGGAATTTAGAACAAAAACTTTCAACAACTTGATAAGAAACAACAAAGTTTAAACAGTATTTTCAAAACTAGAAAATTAAAATCAGTAGAATCAGAAACAATATACATAATATTTTTCTCAAAGAAGAAAATCGAGTGTTAAGGAAATTATTTCCCGCAAGTACCCGAGGTTAATGGAATATATCCTCCTAGGATAAAACAATAATCTTATTCACCGGTGTATTGGTACCTATAACCATGGTGTCAGCGAACCACTCAACGACAGTAAAGTACACTTAAAATACTAGCTAGATTTAGTAGTAGTAGAAGTAGTCTAGAAAATTGGTTGTTTTAAAACGAGAGGAAATCCCTCTATTTATAGACAACAAAGGGTAGTGTGAACAGATGCTTATTGTGCCTTATTGAAAAGTTCACAACCCTTCGGAAAGGTCACAACCTTTCATAAAAGTCACAACTTTTCATAAAAATCGCAACTCTTCATAAAAGTCACAACTCTACATTTTCCATTCACACCTTTTAAAACCCAATAATAACTTATTTAAATTAAAGCAAAATAAATGTGTGTTCATCCATGGAACTCGATCGATCTTTTATTTCTATGAGTTTCAACAAAGACAGACGCACAAATGAGTGAATCAACTATATACAGTCACATTCCCTTTGTTATTAACACGTACGGGCTATAACGTACGTAATATTATGACTAAAAACTATATGACATTTTTTGGGTACTGATAACAAGCTATTAGAATACAGTTTAAATTTCCTTTCATATACAATATTAGTAAAAGATGGATGAGATAAAATAAATTGAAATGAATTACCTTGGGTAATTGTTGTTCTTGACAGCCTTTTGTCCATATTTTCTCCATCGATAACCATCATCAAGTATATCAACCTGACTTTTAGTTTGAAAAGCAAATCTGGGCTTCTTAATTTTCTTATTCTTAACCGATAAATTATGATTTTGCACTACTCCCATCATCTCATCACGGGACGTCGTCTTTAATCCCCCATTCATAGAGTAGTAACCAACAACAACATTCTCCATCCAAAATAACACCTAGTAATTAGACACAACTGATCGATGCTATTAATTGACAAGATACACACTCTATTATTATTTATTATATATATATATAGTAGAGGAAAGACAAACGAACGTAGTTTCATCAAAAGGTTAAACTTGTAAATAAATATACTTCTATATATAAAATACTAGTGAATTTTGAAGGACGACTGGTATTTGTCGTGTCTACTAGATTAATTAACGTGGAAAAATTACCCGGCGGCTCAGTCAAGTCATCCTTAACTATGAGAATTCAAAAATAGAAATATTTTGAGCACCTAGAAGGTATTAGGGAATCTTAGTACCTCACCTTGTTGGTGATAGTTCGATTTTCACCCTAATTTCTTATATGTATGAATGATATTTTATTAAAAAATATACGATTAGATTGCATTTAAGAAATATAATAAGTAACATTTATCCCAAAAAAATATTTAAAAATGTCAATTACTAATTAGAAAAGGATTAGTAAACCATTAATTGTAGGTCAACCTAAGAACAAAAAGAAAAAAGAGGTCATTCTAAGAAGGTGGACACGTTTAATTCCATTAGCAAATGTACCATATATATATTTGTTCATTGATAATAAACCAGTTTATACTAGTATGATATTTCAACAAAAGAAACAGTAGTATATTTGTTCTTTTAAGTCGGTACACATCATCAGTTGTAGAAATTAATAACATAATCCTAATCCAAGTTTCACATGGCAAAGAAAATATTACTTATAGAGTTATAGTATTTTCAAATGAATTTTTTTTTCTATTAAAAAACCTTTTACTTTTCTCAAGCTAAAAAATACATGTCTTAAACGCTAACTTCAACTTTTTTCAAGTTGTACTTTAAAAAACATCACATATTCACGTTATATCGTTTTCCCAAACACCTCTATATATACTAAGAATTCTCTTTATAATTTGATATGTGCCAAAAGACTTTTGTTTGCCTTAAATTCCTTGCCCAGAATTATCAATTAATTATCTTTGTTCTTGACGAGAGAAATCATATCTGACACCATAACATTTTGACTACGTGCTCTTATTGATAAAAGAAATTTATTAGAGCCTCCCTAATAATATAACATAGTTGGACAAAAATATATGACACCATCAAATTTAATAGAGTTATTAATGGACAAAGACAATAGTTGTACTATAGCTGCACGTGCATTGGAATAAGGTCTGATATAAGACTATTCATATTCGTAATAGTACTGCTATAAGGGTAAAAATATTAAACTAATTAGTCACAGTTAAAAAATATTACTCCCCGTCACCAAAATTGGTGGCATTTTTTGGATTTCGAAATTCAAACTAGCTTATTTTTTACCGTAAAATTTTCATATATATTTTGAATTGTCAATTATTATGACTTATAGTATAGTACTTTTTACGTAGTTCAAATATATATATAAATTTCATTTTAAAAAAATGAAAATTTCATACGCAAATTTCCGATCAAACTTAAATTATTTGACTCTCGAAAAATGAAAAGTGTCACATAAATTAGGAGAGGGACTACTTTATATATAAGATTTATTTGTTAAAACATGTCAATTATTACTATTAGAAAAAGAGCAGATGCATGTATTTACGAGGTGAGGTTTACAGTTTAAGTAGAGGTGAAGAAGGAAAACTAGAAAAGAGGATCTTTCTAAATAAAATTTACGGTCTAAAGAGGTGGACAAGTCTTCCATTTGCAAGTAAACAAAAATATTATATTTGATCTATAATTTAATCGATAGACTCGGTAAATAATAATTCAGGTGGAGTGGATCATATCTGTAGAAATTACATTATACTATCCAATTTGTACACGGCAAAGGAAGTTTTAAATTTTAATCTTATCATGATCACATGGTCATTTGAGAAAAAAACAGCTAATTTGATATAAACAGTGGAATGAAAGGGTCAAAGGGGATAGAATACAACCAATTTTGAGTGAAAAACATGCTTAGTTGAATCACAGTAATCAAGAATTAATCTCTCACGTCTTAATGTGGAAGCTAATTCAAATATCTATGACTTTACACATATAATTCAACAACAATATACTTTAGATAAGTACTTATAATTTATTCTTTAGGTATATGTAGTGGTGGCAAAAATGGATCTTATTCACTAGATATTCATATGCTATCTTGTTATTTTTATTATCTGGTTTGTGTTTTACCATACTGATCATATTATCCGTCAATTGACTTATTTCTTGTCCATATAAAATATGTATAACTGACATATTTTTATCAATTTTTACTTAAACTCATTTTCGATATATATATCTGCTCATGTTCAATCCATCGGATCCTTAATTCTGTATGTCACTTGTATGTATATAAAACTTTGTGATGGTGCACAAGTGTACATCAACATATGCGTCATGAATTGTGTGTCTATTTGAAAATATGTCACTTGAAGTGCACAAGTTTGAATACTATGATTTTAGATATCATGTCTATTTGAAAATAGTAGGTAGATATATAGGATAACAATTACGACTAGTCCAATCTTTGAAATGTTGTGTCTGCGCACTATATATATATAGTGAAAATACTCATTAGAACCAACAAGGGTTGTAGTGAAGTGGTAAGTACTCCTTCATGCTTAACCAAGAGGTCTCAAGTTCGATTCCCCTTGGGTACGGAGTCACCTTTGTTAGGAAGCGCTTTACCCCTCAATGTGGGACTTCCCGGCGTGAATCCGGATTTAGTCGGGCTTCAATGTGGGTACCGAACACCGGATGAGAAACCAAAAAAAAAGAAAATACTCATTAGTATATAATGTCCTTCTCGAAGCACCCAGTGAATGGAGTCACCTTTGTTAGGTAGCGCTTTACCCCCAATGTGGGACTTTCCGGCGTGAATCCGAATTTATTCGGGCTTCAATGTGGGTACCGAACACCGGATGAAAACCAAAAAAAAAGAAAATACTCATTAGTATAAAATGTCCTTCTCGAAGCACCCTGTTTGTCCTTGACGATTGCAGACTTGCAGTCATGCATGACACCAGAATTCTTTTGACTACATTTTATTTTTTTAAATCCTTGTTTTTTGACTACATAAATAACAACAACAATTGACAATATATCTAATATAATTTCATAAGATTAAAAGATAATTTGATAATTGTTTAATTTAAAAATTTTAATATAATATATTTAAAATTATAAAATTAAAAAGCATTTTAATACATTTTACATTTTTAATTAAGACGAGAGAATTTTTTATAGAAAAAATAATCTTGAAAGCAATATCGTACGTAGTTGGGAGAAAGACAATAAAGTAGTGTAAGACTATTCATATTAATAATAGTATAGTACTACTATGGGGCTCTTCTCTCTGCTTACAAAATTTTAGAGTATATAATTTCTATATTACTTGTGATTAATTAATTTTGTTGCCTCAAATATTCAAATCCCAAATAACAATTATAATTAAGCAAGTGCCCCTCAGATGGCGCCGTCGTGATTCATTAACCATTTGTTTTCTTAATTATTTTTCCTTTCTTTGTTTGCTAGTAGTCAAAGATAGGCTAATTGATAATGTGTAATATATGAATTAGTGTTTCAACTTTGAACAACCTTCCACTTATTACCATTTTTTTTTCTTTTCTCCAGACATGTGCATAATATCATCTCGTTTTCTAGAATGATCAGAAAAGTACAATTAAAGTTTTATTTACTCGAAAGAAATACTATAACAGAATTTATTAATGAGGACTAATCAAGGGAACACTCTAATGTATACTTAAAAAAACATACTAAGATGACATAATCCTTAGAAGTGACATCTCCAATATCTGTTATAGATATTCTTAGGTATTCATAAAGAGATTAAGGGTGTGTTTGGTATGAAGGAAAATGTTTTTTAAAAATAAACTTAGAATTTTTTTGGGGGGTGGGGGGGTAGGGGTGAGATGGGTTAAAAAAATAAAAATTTGAAATTGAAAATATTTTTTAAAAACAAATTTAAATTTCTTTTTGGAGGGGGTGGGGGGC